GGTTACCTTTGCCTTTAAGATCCCGAGTCAAGCCCTGGCTGGTGTGGCTCAGTGGACTGAGCACCGGCCTGTGGACCTAAAAATTGCTGGTTTGATTCCCGGTCAGGGCAAATGCCTGGGTTGCAGGCCAGATCCCCAGTTGTGGGAGTTCAAGAGGCTGCTAATTGATGTTTCTCTCACACATCAGTGTTTCTCTCCCTTCTCTTTCTCCCTCCTTTCCCCTCTCTCTAAAAATAAAAATAAATAAAATCTTAAAAAAAAAAAAGAAAAGGATCTTGAGACAAATATATATATGTGAGGAATTAGGATTATGGGGTATCTGGCCTGAACAGCTTGTGGAATGGTGGTGTCACTTTAAATAGAGAAGTCTGGGTGAAGCTTTGAAGGGGTGCAGAAATCAAGATTTGTGTTTTCAATACACTAAACTTGAGATTACAATAAAATGATTAATACCAATTAGGTGCTGACTCTGTACCAGGGAGTGGGCCCTGGTTGGCACAGTACTCCTACCCCATCCTCTTGGTTCAAGTATACCACCCCTACCACATCAATAAGAACTTCCCTGGAGTTTTTATTGGAATAATCAGGACAGATAATTTTCTTTTTGCTTAGAGGTTGCTTGTTATGAAGTGCTTTAGGGGGTCAATTTGGCTACTACATGGGAAGATCCTGTCTAGGAATAAAAACAATGCACAAGAAACACAGAATGATGTGGAGAGATGGGAAGAGACAGTTCTAACAATATTAGTATCAGGATCTAGTCATATTTAAAGCTAGATGCATTCCTGGACTTCTTAGCTACTGAAGCCAATAAATTCTATTTTTGTTTAAGCTAGTTCGAGTTGAGTTTCTATCCATTGCAACTAAGAGTCCCAACTAATTTACGTATCTAGAATAGCATATACTTATAAATAAAGTTTTATTTTTTCACAGGAGAAACTCTTAATATTCAAATATTCTAGTCATTTTATCCTAAAAAATCCCATTATCTTCCTGATTTGTTTAAATTACTCTTACTTAAGCCTCTACTCTGGCTTGTCTGAAGACAAATTCTAAGGATTAGGTTTAACATTACCATATAGCTGCATTGCTTTACTAAAAACCTACTTAGTGTAAATAAGCAACAGCCTGTTGAGCATTATCTATTAGTGGGGAACTTGACATATGGGCATCATGCTGCCTCAAAATTAAAGCCATACAAATCTTTACCTAGTTTTTCCTGTGGATTTGAACTTACTTTAATAAGAGCATGCAAACTGTTTGATAACATTCTGAATTTTTAAAAAATCCACTCAAATGACATGAGTGGAGACTGCTGATTTAAAGAGTATTATCAATTAAAGATAAGTTTCCTAAATCTTGACCTGAAATTAAATGGATGTAGCACAAGGAAATTAACTGATTTAGCTATCATAAGAGTTGATTTTAGATGACACTTTTAATAGAAACACTGGTAAATGGGTTCTGTGCTAGAAACGAGCGTGTTAGTGCTCAAAGGGTCTTGGCAGTTTAATGTTTCAAAGGGAGAAATTAGATAAAGTCTCTAATGGTTTGTATTTTGAAGGAAATGGTACATATGTTTCTATTTTAAAGATATAATAAAATATAAAGACAGACTAAACATAACACATTTACAGTGATACATGAAAAATTGCCAGGGGACAAAATAATAGAATTCCTCTGATACTTCACTTTAAAAAAGGAGGGAAGAGAGCCAAAATTTAAACTGTTTAAAACAATAAAAACAATACTTTAAATGGTTACTGACCACATTTCTGACTTTACATCAGTTACCAGAGCTTGCCCATTTGAATTGGCTTATTTGCCCATAACTCTTTGATTGCTTATGGAAGGCACATAATGCTGAATGAGAAAAAAAAGATTGGCCCTGAGGACAGTCTCTCTTTATTAATAGTTTTGCTTGCAGAAGTGAAGGTTTTGAGGAAGGAGATAGACGGAAGAAACTGGACAAACAAGAAAATACTTAAAATTCACTCAGAATATGTCAAAAAGGATATTCTAAAGCTGATAGTAACCTAAGAACACAGCAGTAGTATTAATGAGGACTGTTAAGCGTTACACTTCATGGTTAGAAACTTATCAAAAGTTGCACTGGAGCCCATATGGAAAATGAGAGAATGTCAATAAATGAAGATACTAAAGAAGTGATTAACATGAATAAGATTTCTTTCCTTTTACATGGGGCTCAAAAATGTGTTTAATAATAATACTAAAAGTAAACATTTGTAAAATATTTTGCAGTTAACAATGCATCTTTCATAAACATTAATTACAGGGATGCTATAACTAGGTATTATTTTAAACATATTTACGTATTTTAATTTCATAATATTATAAACATTTAATTTGAACTATTGGTAAACTTTATATTAAGTATGTCATATGTTAAATAATTTAAATGTTAAATAAATAATCTATTATATAGTAAATGTATTTAAGTATCCTGTCCAGGGCTATTTGGCTAAATGATAGGTCTGGGACTTAAACGGAAGATACTGCAACTCCAAATCCAATGGTCTTTCCATCAAACCAAGAAACCCCTTTCCTGGATAACTGATCTTCATGCTACACTGGGTTCTTTTGCTCTCTTGTTGTTGCTCAGACTGAAGTCAAATTAGTAAGTGTATACAGAGACCATTAGAACAGACTCACTTGTGTCCTGTGAACCTTTGAAAGGGAACAGTTTACTACATGGTGATGAGTTGGGCTTTGGACATTTTCTTTCTAGGTCAATCAACAGGGTTTGCCAACTCAGTTTAAATGTGAAAGGGAAGTGGAGAAAAGATGAAATAGGAGAGAGAATCATAAATAAACTACTCCCTTAATTTTGCAAATGGAAGTGACTTCCCCACTGAGGGTAACGGCAAGGCTGGAACCCACACTGACCACCGCTTCCTGTTTCCCCCCTGAGCAAGGGTGAATGTAGCCGTGGCATTCTACACTTCCTTAAACCTGGCTCTTGGTCCTCCACCCCTGACATAAATGATGTGAGACTTGTCAAAGTCCATCTGAGGAAAACATGGTGGCCCTGGATACTGAGGATACGACTCCTTCCTCTTTTACTAAATTAATTCATCTAATACAACATTTATAAAATTTCTACTCTGTGTTGTAGAGTGTATGAATATTTAGGGATATGAATATAAAATCCTGCCTTCAAGAACCATATTATGCTTGTTGAGGCAATTCAGTCTCTAAATAATAAAACTATTATAAGATAATTTAGTTTCTGGATCAGTGGTTCAAAAGCTTTTTGAGGGTCCTAAGCCCTCAGTGAGAATCTGATATAAATATGGATCTGCTCCCCAGAAAAATCCATACATTTTCAAACATATTAAAGAGATTATTGGATCCTCTACAGTCCATTAATTACAGGAAGCTTTATTATGAGAGATTCACTGAGTACCAACACATAAAAATTATCGGAAGAACCTAAATTGAGAGAATTACTAGTTGTCCCTTTTCTTTGATGCAAGATGAATAAACTTTTAAAACATGCTATCCATGTTAAGGCAAAGAAACTCTTTCCCTTCTGAATGTCCTTCTTTAAATGTCTATTTCACACACATATATTTTTGTGTGTTATTCTGTAAGAATGTATCATTTGCATTCACAGTTTCTGGACTGACCTTTTCATATTTATATAAAACACATGGATAAACTTCATTAAAAGCAGAAGAAACACAGCTTAGCTAATTAATTACTCTATTTCAATTTTTTTTTCTAGCTTGGAATGCCATTTCTAAGGCTTTGATGCCAAAGGGAATAAAGTCATTAAGATGAGTTGATAATACTGCAGCATGGGCACTTTCTTGTTGTCCATTAAAAAAAACTAGGTCTTCTGGAATTTAAATTATTTTCTTAAAGAAAAAGTAGAAGGTTGAAGGACAATAGTAGAGAAATCTTTGCAGAAGTGGGAAACTGAACAATCAATACTAAAGTTTCATGGATCATTTCCTATAACTGAATAAATCTAAAAAAAAAAATGTATCAAGCCCTTTAATAAGTATTAATTTGGTTATGTTAAAAAGTTTTTAAAAACTGGTTATCTTGTTACATATCCTGAAGCAAATAAATAGGACAAGTTAGAATAATATATTCCTTGAGTATACTGGCAAAGCGGACAAATGATAAAAGGACAGAAAATAAAAGGTTTTCCTAAAAAAACTTGGAAGTAAATACTGTTATAATTCAATTTGATACTTTGCTAACATTAGGTGTAAGTAAGATAAACAGAAGGAAATGTCAAAGGCTGGAGAAAGGATTTGGATTCCTTGTTACCAGTGTTTTAAATGGATTAGAAATACAAGTTATTAGCAAGTAGGCACAAAAGTCTGGAGAAGTAGTATGAATGATTATTTATAGAAATAATTCATTTATTAAAACATCAATTTTTTAAATTGTTTATTAAAAATGGAGAACAGGACAACCTAACAACAATCTCAACAAGCATCGTGAGGTAATACTGCTAGTTTAAAAGGACCTAATATTAGTGCTAGTAGATTCTGATTTTTTAAAAAAGGTTCTGATTTTTAAGAAATTCTTTCTGTCATAAGACAGAAATAAACTCTCTCATTGTGACAGACCAGTGTGACTCTCATTGAAGTGTGATTCTTCTAAGACTTATTTTCCAATTAACAAAAGGAGTTGAGTTTTTTTTGGAGGGAGCTAAGAGAAAAAAAGACAGACTAGAAATGATACAAACAGTGATTTCAGGCTTAATGTTAAGGATCAGTCAGAAATAGGATAAATCTACCTTTTCTTCATATGGAACTACTAATATTAAATATACTTGAACATTAAAATAATGAAGCTGATGTCATTAAAAAAAGCTGAATTAAGACATCTTTACTGAATGCTGAAATAAAACCTGACACTAACATAGGTGCATGTGGACTTCACATGACACACTTCTCTTCAGTAATGCATTCTTAATGAAACAGGACACAGTTAAAGGGTTAATGTGAGCATATACATACCACAGGCTGTTTTGTGATGTCCACCAAGTCCTTGAGGTTGTAATACTGATGTTTCTCAAAAGCCGAAAATAGCATGTCTAAAACGTATTGCTTATCAGCTCGAGCTCTTTTTCCATCTTCTTTCTTTTTCCTTTCATATTCAATCTATGTGCAAAAAGCAAAAGAAATAAAAGCATCATTTCAACATCCTCACTCTGAAACATGTTCATTTTCTTTTTAGCCATCCAAATAACTACTAGATTTTAAGCTGCAAGGTAGCAGGTTAAAGAGCAGTGGTTCAGAACCTGGGGTCCTCATTGCTCCCACGGCTCCTCAGATCTTTAAGCCTCTACGAAGTATTAGGTCTGGATTAATGCCGATCTATAAACCATTTTCTTTATTTCCTAAATTTAGCTTTATGTAATGTGTCCATTTCTCCCCACAAAAGGCTTTCTTTTCCAAAATTCTATCAATTCAATGTGGCTACTGGTTAACCCATACTGATCAGAAAGTCTAATTTTAAGTTTTTTTTTGTTTTTGATTACCCAACACACAATAAGTTTATCTAACAAATGTAGTTTTTGGTAGGTGACATTTTTCAAAATTCAGGGTTTTAGGGGCAGGCAGATGGTTAAGAGTCTGGCAGACCATAGAACAGACTCTCTAAGAAGTGACAAGTTCGGGAAACACTGGTTAAAAGCCAAGAACATGGGCATTGACAGGAGGCTGTTTCTCACCCCAACTCTGTGTGACTTCCCTGAACGTGTTTCTTCTCTTATGAAATGAAGTAAGCAAGGGCACTAGGGGAATGTATAAATTTACTTCTAGTGTTACCATCCAGGGACTTGTTCATTTGTAAAAAAAAATAAATCCTTTAATTGAAAACACACAAACTTTCAGTTGATGAAGCTTTTACTTTTCTTAGAAACATTTCATTTTGGTACGGCATCAGGAACTTATTAGAAGAAATATATATCATGACAGCATGGATGGAACTGGAGAGCATTATGCTAAGTGAAATAAGCCAGGTGGTGAACCAAATGCCGTATGATCTCACCTATAATAGGAACCTAATCAACAAAACAGATGAGCAAAACAGAACCAGAGGCATGGAAATAAGGGACAAATTGACAGGGACCAGAGGGGAGGAGGGTGGGGCATAAAGGAGGAAAGAAGGGGAAGGGCCTAGCTAAAGAACAAGTACAAATGACCCATGGACATGGACAGCAGAGTGGGAATTGACTGTGGGAGTGGGGTGTGGGTAGGGTAGGGTAGGGGAGAGCAATGGGGGAAATCTGTACACCTGTAATAGAACAACAATAAAAAAATAAAAAATAAAAATGCAAAATGTTAAAAAAAACAAACAAACAACTTCAGCAGCCTGCCTGGTAAATAAACCACCAGCAGGTGACAGCTGCCAGGGAACAATCGCCTATGCATCAACTGGAATAACTATAATCTAGGGGCTACCTTCAAAACATACAATAAATTATTGCATAAATTCCAGCCTCAAAGAGTTAAACTTACTCTATTTTAACAATAGAAATTTGTTATAAAAAATAAGTTTCTACTGATGTCAAGATTAAACATTTATCTTATTCTTTTTAAAATTTTATTTAATTTATTATTTTTTTCTCACCTGAGGATATGTTTATTGATTTTAGAGAGAGGAAATGGGGGGGAGAGAATCACTGATCAGTTGCCTCTTGTATGCATCCTAATCAGGGATCGAACCGCAACTTTTTGGTGTGCAGGACAGTGCTCCAACCAACCGAGCCACTCAGTCAGGGCTATCTTCTTCTTAATCAGAAACTTTTAAGTTAGCGGCAAGAGGTAACTTTGACAACAAAGAATATCTGTCTTTCAATGAAATAAAATCAGAAACTAGACAAGGAAAAAGGTCTAACAATCGTCTTAATTTTTTCTGATATGCAGACCTTGGGAGTAAAACTCAAAATTTATTAATTCTAGGGGGTAGTAGGATGAGCCTGATGGTATTTAAAGATACAAACTTGCAACAAGCAGTAAATAAGCCACAGAGATCTAGTGCCCAGTGTAATGAATATAGACAATATTGTATTATAATTATGGAATGTGTATAAAAAAACACATTGTATACCTTAAATTTACACAATGTTGTGTGTCAAATTTATTCAATTTAAAAAGTAGCCCTGACTGCTGTGGCTCAGAGGATTGATTGCTAGCCTGCGAACCAAACGGTTGCTGGTTCAGTTCCCAGTCAGGGCATAAGCTGGGGTTGTTGGCCAGGTCTCCAGAAGGGGGAGAATGAGAGGCAACCACACATCGATGTTCCGCTCCCTCTCTGTCTCCTTCCCTTCCCCTCTCTCTCTAAAAATAAATAAATAAAATCTTTAAAAAAATCTGTTTATTTATTTATTCTCCTCACCTGAGAACATTTTTTTCATTGCTTTTAGACAGATAGGAAAAAGAGAGAGAATTATCAATGTGAGAGAGAAGCATCGACTGGTTGCTTCCCGTCTGTTCCTGGACCTGGGATGGAACCTGCAACCTAGGTATTTGTCCTGATTAGGAATCTAACTTGCAATCTTCTGATTACTGGATGATCCTCCAATCAACCGAGCCACATTAGCCAGGGCTCCATTCATCTCTTTAAAATATTAAGCACAGGCTCTGGGCTTTGCATTGCACCAACAGGGCAAATAAGAAAGCCTCTTGCAAAACATATCCTGTTTTTAGGGCTCATGTATTAAATGTTTACAGAGGACCTTGAGCACTAAAAATGTGGTAACAGATCATGGAACTACACAGGACAAGATCATGATGATGGAAAAAAATGCACATGCATGACACATACTGTATTGCGGGGGAGGAATGAAATCCACCCAGTCTCAACATTTTCTAGGAAGGACATGAAAGAAAACAACTATGAGCAGCTAAAAAAATTTATTAGAGAAGAGCAGAAGGACTAGAAGAGCTAGAAGCAAGACTAGGGAGGGGAGATATCAAAGAAACCCATGACCAAGGAGAAATACTAAGTCTTCCCAGTGTGGGGAAGGTAGAGAAAGAGATGAAAAAAAATGCATTTAAGGACAAAGGCTGTAGTACAGAGTCTATCCCAAATCAGCAAGAAGGGAGACTGCAAGAGGGCAAAGACCAAAAGGGATGGACTCAAACAAAGTCCATTCAAGAATTTTCTTTCTCTAGGATAGAACTAAGAGAATGACTGTACGATGGAAAAAGAAAGCATGACAGGCAGGACAGAACACATAAATTAAAGGCAGAAGGCTCTTTGGATTAAAAAATAAATAATCATAGAATGCCTTAAGGGATTACTGACCACTGACTAAAATATATTTTCCCTGGTTACAACTGTACTTAGTTCACACCCTGAAATCCCCTTCCACTGCTGCATTGCACTTGAAGAGGTTTATGTTTTGTATTGTGATGGACAGTCTTGAAAGGGGGCCTACTTTTTAAAAAAAGTAGAAACAAGTCTGGACTAGGGGATAAAGCTGTGATAACCCTTATTCTGGTCAAGTGTGGGGTAAGAAAAACTTAACTTGGGATATAGAAAAGAGAGGGAGAAAGAATCAGACTAAGGACGGGTGGGGAAAGCCTATCCCTTTCCCAGAGTGGGATGGGGGATTTCATTTAGCCAAAGGCCACTGGTTCCCAAGAAAAACAATACAGAGGGAGTGGGGACCTAGCCAAAGACCAGTGTTAGCTTTTGTATTCTCTGAATGGAGGCACAGTTGCAAGATATTGTTTGTCCTCCCTCCCCAGCTTTAATTTACGCTGAAAGAACACAGAAAAAGTTAAATTCAGGAAACAGAAAAGAGAAATGATGATGGTATATTCAGCTTCCACCCTTAGAAGTCTCTCTCTTGTGTAAAATCACTGGAGAAGCTGGGAAGACTAATAGAAAAAAAATGTTTTTTAAAAAAACAACCCTGCTGATAAGGCAAGATGGCCCATTTCAGAAAGGGCGCACACTCTAGTGGACAGCAGAGAACAAAGATAAGAATTTAAAATTCATTAGAAAGGCCCTGGAAGGTGTGGCTCAGTTGGTTGGGCCACATCCTGCAGACCAAAAGGTTGCAGGTTCTATTCCAGTCAGGGCTCATGTCTGCAGGTTTGTTGTGGTCAGGGGATGCATGAAAGGTCACCAGTTGATGTTTTTCTCTCATATCAATGTTTCTCTCCCTTTCTTTCTCTCTCCCTTCCCCTCTCTCTATAATCAATAAGCATGTCCTTGAGTGAGGATTTAAAAAATGTTAAAACAAGTTAAGAAAAAACATTAAAACCAAAACTGAAAAGATAAGATTAAGGGTGAGATTAAATTATGATTAGCAAAGTTAATTAGTGAGAAAATTACCAAATTCTACCAAGATCTTTTTTTTTAAATCTTGGTTTACATGCTTCAATCTCAAAAATACTGCATTAACCTTGGTGATTTCCTACTTTAAATTAGAAAAAAACAGCTCAATAGCTAGGGACAGTGCAACCTAATTTTACTTTGACCAGTGAACATAAAACACTTAAAAATATAATCTGAGAACCTAGACACAGAAAATAACACCAGTGACAAACATGGAAATATTCGTCACTAGAGAAATTTAAGTACTAGAAATTTAACCTTACACTTATTTAAAAACAAAATGTAAAGTGGAACATCTCTTCAATGCCTTCAGGGCGTGCACTAGGAAATAACGTATGAGTGTTTTAAAACAAAAATTTTGGCCCTGACTAGTGTGGCTCAGTTGGTTGGGCATTGTCCCACTAAGTGAAAGGTCACCAGTTTGATTCCCAAGATCAGGGCACAAGCCTGGGTTGCAAGTAAATATCCTGGTCAGGCACATGTGAGAGGCAATGGATCGATCGGTTTCGCTGTCACATCAGTCTTTCTCTCTTCTTTCTCCCTTCCCCTCTTTCTAAAAATAAATAAAATCTTTAAAAAACCCCAAAATTTAACTACAGCATTAGTTAAATCTTTTTTGATAATTTCTAAGACAGGCTCATAATCCAATTTCTGCTCTGTGGCATCAGGTAGTTCTAATGTTAATATGTAATTATAGAAGGGATTTTGATGATTTCCGTGGTCATTAAATTACTAATACTTTTATACTCAGGACAAAACTGATGTTCCTGAGGTAACTTTTCATTTTAAAACTGTAGAAATGATA